CCCACATATTTATTTTAATGAAAATGTATATATGTATATATAATCTATGTAATTTTTTAGGAGTATCTAACTATCAAGTTGAAGAAGATATAGGGAAGTTGAAGTCCTGTCTTACTGGCTTTCTTCAGGAATATGGGTTATCTGTTATGGTGAAAGATGATTATGTCCATGAATTGTGAGTATTCTTTAGATCATATAGGAATAATACTCTCCCTGTTTGTGGTTAGACTATTAAAAATTCATACCTACCTCTTTTCCTGTAGTTGCCGATATGGAGCTGCTGAGCCGCACACCATTGCTGCATTCCTGGGAGGTGAGTTTTATAGATGAGATGACTTATTTGTTGTTATAGAATACAGTTACTATTTGTATTAGCTTTTTGTTTTCTTAGCTTTTTTAATTAAGAGGTCAATGAAACAGGTTGTTAAATTTAGGTTAATCATTAGCCCTCCACACTGTTCTTCTTACTCTCTGGCTTTCCCATGACCATCCATATTAAACTCCTGAAGAGTCTAATGGAAGGATGCTTTTGATCATGAACCTCACTTAACCTTCTGAGCACAAGTACACACAGAGACCTTCCTTCCTCTTCTGTCTTGTCTTGTCTTCCTGCCCCAACAGTTCTCAGAAACAGAGACTAACTTCCCTGAGACGTGCCCTAGACCTTTGTACCTAAGGGCCCAGTTCAAAATTGACATTTCTGTCATAAAAGCTCCTTTATTTGTTTGTTCCCACCATTTCTTCTTTGAGTCGGTTAAGTGAGTTACTATATGGGTACCTTATAAACATCCGAAATTTATTTCTTACAGTTTTCAAAGATTCAAATGAGGATGCCAACATATTAGGGTCTGTTGAGGTCTCACTGCCAGAATCATATGTGGTGTTTTTTTCTTACTGTGTTCTCACACATTATTCTTTTAAAAATGTCAAAGGAAATCTGCAGGATCTCTTTTATAAGGGCATAAACCCATGTATGAGAGCTCCGCCCTCGTGGCCTAATCACTTTCCAGAAGCCCTACCTTCTAATACCATTGCATTGAGAGTTTTCAACATATTAATGGTGTGTGTGTGTGGGGGGGGTGGCGACAGAGAGGGGGAGCACACACAGTAAGTGAGTAATACCTTAAAAAATTCTTCTCCTGCCTGTTACTTCCAATAGCTTGAGCTATTTGCTTATGACATTTTCCTTTCTAGATGATTGTTTTGAAGGCAGATCCAGTTTGATTAATAGTGTTCAGAATGCTAATAATGCAGATCTAAGAAAACGATATTTTAAGCAAACATAAATTAAAGCCTGATTCCTGATAATTTATTTAAATAAAATCATTCTTTTATGTCTAAATAGTAAAGTAATCTGAAAATTCATAGAAAAGTGCAAATTATTATTTATTCAGATCTAGGCCAGATTCTGGGAGACACAGTCAGAGAGGTCTAACAAGTGTAAATAGAGGCAGGACTTTATTTTATGTTCTGTAATGATTTTGAACCTTCGTCTCCGAGGCTTTCCCCACATAAACTTGAGCCACTTCTCCTGTGCTCGTCCTCTTTTCTTTTTCACCTTAGCACTTAGTCGTTTTACATACTGCACACTTTGTTCATTTTTTTTTTTTTTTTTGATTTTTCAAGACAGGGTTTCTCTGTGTAGCTTTGCGCCTTTCCTGGAACTCGCTTTGGAGACCAGGATGGCCTCGAACTCACAGAGATCTGCCTGGCTCTGCCTCCCGAGTGCTGGGATTAAAGGCGTGCGTCACCACCGCCCGGCCACTTTGTTCATTTTTAAGCTATCTTTTCTCTTCTGTTAAAGAGAAAGACCCAAGTGAGTAAACAGCAGATACTTTTGTCTATTGTGCTCTGCTTTGTCTGTGGTGCCTAAAGAGGATTTGGTGTGTAGTAGAGTCTTAAGTCTCACAGCCTCAGCATTTTAGAAAGAAGCTGCTTCAGTTAAGAGGGGTTTTTTTCTTGGTGGGATTTTGCTGTTTATTTTGTGTTTTGAGTGCTTTATAGGAGCTCTGTGGTATTTAGTGTAGAGACTTTTTAAATTACAAATGAATTTCAAAGCTGTGGATATAGCTCAATGGCAGAGTGCTTACCTAGCATTAAGTCCCTGGGTTTGCTCCTCAATACACACACACACACACACACACACACACACACACACACATGCTGCGTGCACACGCAGAGAGAGACAGAGAGACAAAGAGAGACAGAATGTGAGAGAGACAGAGCGATTGATTGATTGATTGATTGATTGATTGATTGACTTAGAGCAAATATGCTTTTATCTTTTTTTGCTATAAAGGTAGAATAGATAAAGGTAGAATTCCAATGCAGTGGTGAGAGGAAGACCAACCAGAGGAGGAAATAGGGAGATGGGGAAGGGCAGGGTGGGGACATACAAGAACAAAATATATTAATAGGTATGTATGAATACATCCCAATGAAACCCATTTCTTTGTATGTTAATAGAAATATTAATAAAGCACACACACACAACCCTTGGATGCAACAGAAGGGCTTTCTTTGAAGAGGATCTTTTTTTGTGTGTTTTTGGTTTTTTTGAAACAGGGTTTCTCTGTGTAGCCCTGGCTGTCTTAGAACTCACTCTCTTTAGACCAAGCTGGCCTTGAACTCTTGAGATCTGCCTGCCTCTGCTTCCCAAGTGCAGGGATTAAAGGTGTGCACCATTATCTCCTGGCTGAAGAGGATCTTTATGCCTCTTTATATCCTTTCAAAAAGTTCCTTCAATCAAACTACTATCTAAACTTTGTCCATTCACTGTATCCTGCCAGCTTTCTAAATCACCATAATTAAAAATACCTTATTTTTAAAATTTGTTGCTCATTATTTCATTGGGTAATTCCTAAAATGAGCCTTCTATTTCCTTTAATAACATAGTTATAAAGAATTATAGTATTTTGCAGGGCATGATGGTGTAGACCTTTAATCCCAGCACTTAGGAGCCAGAAGCAGGAGGATCTCTTGAGTTTGATGCCAGCTTGATCTATATTGTGAGTTCTAGGACTGTCAGAGCTGTATAGAGAGACCCTGTCTCAAAAAAAACAAACAAAAATAATTATAGTCTTTTATTTTGTTATGACTCAGTAAGCTATGTTTGTTTTGGATTACTTTTAAACAGCTTTGCTTTCTTTTTGGGCTTACTTTTGTTTTTTCTCTTTTGTGTTCTGCTGTATCTATGGTGTATTCTGTATACCATAGGTCTCATGTACCCCAGACTGGCCTCCAGCTCGTTTTGTAACTGAAACTAGCCATGAACTCATGATCATTCTGCCTCTACTTCCCAAGTGTGATGAATATAGTCATGCACTAACCACACCTGGTTCTTTTGTTTGTTTTTTTGAGACAGGGTCTCACTGTATAGCCTTGGCAGGCTTAGAACACATTATATTTAGCAGGCTGGCTTTGAACTCAGAGATCCACCTGTCTCTGCTTCCTGAGTGCTAGGATTAAAAGCATGCACCACCAGGCCCATCCTGGCTTATATTATCTAACTCTTAAATTTTACTATTTTCAAAGATTTACTTTTCTCCTTTTTCCTACAGGAGCTGCTGCTCAAGAAGTTATCAAAATAATCACCAAACAATTTGTAATTTTTAATAATACTTACATCTATAGTGGCATGTCACAAACTTCTGCAACTTTCCAGTTGTAGAATAAGCCCCACGTGTAATATGTTAATAATTGAATAAGTCCCACCTGTAATATGTTAATGGTTGAAACTGTAATTGTCTTTATATTGTGCTTTAGTTGTAAAAATCTGTTAAAGGAGAGCAGTAATTGTTTCCTTAATAAACATTTTTCTCATTTGTAATATATTCTTGTCATTTGGGGTGGTGGGGAGAAAGCAGTCATTTTCTCGAAGAATAAAAGCTATCTCTTTATAACTTAGTTCATTAATACTGGCTTGCTATTTTGTAGTTACATATCATAGACATATCTGTTTCATTAGAGTAAAAAAAATTTAACCATCTTAACCAATTGAAGATATGAATTTTAGCTGTGGACATTTTAAGATCATTATTTGTTAAAATAGAATTTTAAAAGAAGCATTTCAGGATGTGTAATTTTATCAGAGAACAAAACCATTTCCTCATAGTGTCATTCATTATATATAACTAAATATTTTACCACTATACTTTTTGAAATTGCATAGGGTTGTCCCATTCATAAATTCCATTTTAATTAATCAGATTGGAATAATAGCATTTACCATCATGTTAGATGGGAAAGAAAATTCCATAAAATGAGGAATAGCAGCAAACTAGAAATACAGAAATGCAAGCAGGGCTCAGTTTCTGACTTATGTGTAGCTGGCTGACCGTATTAATGTGACTGTCAATATCTTAAGGCCCTTAAACTGCCTGCTGTATAATAATCATCAAAGGCAGTCTCCGGTGTGAGAACCTGTTATATTTGACAAGAGTGGGGACAGCTGATAGGCTTTTATTTTCTTGGATACTGGTGTGTCGTTTTTGCTTGGCTGCCTGTTAAGTGACTTGCTCACAGGATGGACTGCTCTGACAGTACTTCACTTCATCTCCCAACACAGTCCTATTGGATGGATTCTGTTAGGAAACATAACACCTAGACCACATTTAAGACTCAGGGGCTGTGGTTCTTGGGTCTACACAGTGAGAAGTTAGCTTGGCCAGAACCAAAAATTGTGGTTTAGGAATTCACCCAGTGACTGCTTTAGTGTAGTGCGAGTGTCTGTCCATGGAATGAATGCCCAGTGTAATTGAGGAACGCCTGGCGTCAGGCAAGGTCGGAGGGGAGCAAAGGTTCCTTTCTGAGAAGGGAGTCCTAAGTCCTAATGTGGTAAGGCTACACTACCCTCAAAGTGTAACTTCCTCCACTCTAAAACCCGGCACCACACACTGGCCCCCTTCCATCCTCAGCACATGAGCGGCCAGCTGCTGCTATGAATGAGCCCAGGCTCTGGGTGCCCGCAGGGGCCCGGCCGGAAGTCCCGCCCAGCGGACGTCAACCTGGCTCGCGTTGGGTGGGAAACCCAGTCCGGCGTGGTAGTGCGGGTTTCCTCGGGGAAGAGCTGCTGCGGGGCCGACCAGCTTCGCGGCGCCAGGCTGAGGGCCACAGCCTCTGCTTCCCGGTTTCGGGGGTTGCCTCAGCTCAGCCCAAGCTTGCCTGTTGCCTTCTGGGGCAGGGAGGGGGGCTCCTGCCCTCAGAGCTACGGTGCTGGCGTGGCCCTGCCTAACGGGCTCAGCTCAGGGGACGGAGTGAGCCGAGGGCCGGGGCTTTCCTGAGCTGGCGCCGGGCCCGGCCAGGCCGCAGTTGCCCCAACCTGTGGGAGGCAAGAGCGCCACGCCCTGATTAGTCTGGGTCCGCCGGGGCCGCCCCAGGTGACTGCGGCGGTCCGCGGGGGATTTCGTCTGTGAGAACCACGACAGCACCACGTGTCCCGGGAACCTCCACCGGGGCGCCAGCCTTGGGAACCGGGGGGTTGCTCCCGTGAGGCCTGCCAGAGCCGGGCTTGGGGCAGTGCCCGGTGCCCCGCGGAGAACTGTGCAGAAACGCCCGTGGGACCGGCCGGCCGTGTTGGAAGGCCGCTCTTAGGTGAGCCAGGCCGCCGCAGCCTCGAGCGAGAGGCAGGGAGCTGGCGGCGAGGCAGCCTTAACGCTTGGAAAGATGATGGACGGGCAGGAGAACCTGGGCGAGGGTGCAGGTTTGGGTCCCCACCTCCTATCCGTCCTGAACTGGTTCCTGTTACCCTCAGGGTATTTACTGGGACCCGAATGGAATGACGGATCCCTTAAAACTTTTGGAGCAGAAAATTGACAGTGCAAGGTACACATTTGCCTTTTTGCTCCCATTAGAGATGCTTTCCACAATCTATGGTTCCGAGGCAGACGTCCACCTTGAACAGCTTGCAAACCAAACAGTTCATGCTAGGATTTTCAGCTCTGCCAGCCCCTCCCAGAAAGATGTTCAGTCTCTCATAGGGAAGGACAGATACATAGGTTTTTGTTTTTTGTTCTGCTTTTCTTTCTTTTTTTTTTTTTTTTACACAAAGCTTTTGATATGAATATTTTCTAGAGTAGCTAATTTCAGGAGTTAGGTATTTTGCTTAATGATAGATTTTTACCTTGAGTTCTATCCCTAGGATCGAAGAGGGTGGAGAACGATACTCAGCCAGTTTTTTTTTTTTTTTTTAATTTATTTTCTCTACTAGTTTTCCTAGTAAAGTTTGCACTTGACCATTAGGGGTTTGGAGCAGTGGTTCTCAACATGTGGGTCGTGACCCTCTTGGATTGCATATCAGATAATTACTTATATTAGGATTCATAACAGTAGCAAAAATTAGTTATGAAGTAGCAACGAGATAATTTTGTGGTTGGGGTTACCACAACATGAGGAACTGTATTAAAGGGCTGCAGCATAGCAAGGTTGAAAAACACTGTTTTGGAGAGTAAATTGAATAAAACCGGTAAGGTTTGTGCTTTCTGTTATGTGAAAACGTTTTTGTTTTTTTTTCCCCTATGAGAACACAAATTATCACTCATCATTGGTGATAATTTATATCTATTCACAAAATTGCTAAAAGCATTTTATAATTACTTTATTTGGCACATACTTTTGGCTTGGAAAATGAGCTATTTATAATTTTAAAATCATCTTTTTTACTGTAAATATTTATTTTTAATTATATCTGTTTCCATATGTATGAGTTAGCACATGTGTAATGGTTAGAAGGTAACCAGTGAGAGTCTTTTTTTTTCCTGCTTTGTAAGTCCCAGGGATCACCCATCCTTTGTGAGGATATTTTGTTTTTTGTTTGGAGACAATCTTTTATTCTGCACACCACCCTCCCTTTCTGAAGTTCCTGGCTGGCCTGGAACCTTATATATGTAGCTCACAGTTGTTGTTGGATTTTCTTTTACTCTGTCTCCATGTTGGGACACCAAAATGTTGTCGGTTGTTTTTACTCTTTTGGCTCTTTTACTCTTTTGGGGGCGGGGAGCCGCCACTTAGCTCCCAAATAAATCACACATGGAGGCTTATTTTCTTATAAATGATGGGCCCTTAGCTTGGCTTGTTTCTTGCCAGCTTTTCTTAAATTGTCTACCTTTTGCCTCTGGGCTTTTTTTTTTTTTTGGTTTTTCAAGACAGGGTTTCTCCGTAGCTTTGGAGCCTGTCCTGGCTCTCGCTCTGTAGACCAGGCTGGCCTCAAACTCACAGAGATCCACCTGCCTCTGCCTCCTGAGTGCTGGGATTATAGGCATGTGCCACCACCGCTGGCTCCTTTTCTTACTTCTGTATATCTTACTTTCACTCTTACTCTGTGGTGGCTGGTCCCTAGCAATCTCCTTTTCTTGTTTTCTTGCTCTTCTTTTCCTCCAAGATTTCTCCTATTTATTCTCTCTGCGTGCCAGCCCTGCCTATCCTTTCTCCTGCCTCATTATTGGCCATTCAGCTCTTTATTAGACCATCAGGTGTTTTAGACAGTAACACAGCTTCACAGAGTTAAACAAATGCAACATAAAAGAGTGGAACACATCTTTGCATCATTAAACAAATGTCCCACAGTGTAAACAAATGTAACACATCTTAAAATAATATTCTACAACACAGTGTGGCTTCAAACTCATGATCCTTCTGCCACCCGCTTTCCTGCCTGAAGATTACAGACATGCACCATCATTCCTAGAATATTTCATGCTTGCAAATTTTTTTTAATGTATACATATTCATAGCACATTAATTTTATTGTGAAATATACAGTTGATTACTGATTCACTTAAATTATTACATCTCTTCCACATAGATGAAAGTGTTTCTTTGGATACATACATGAAGTATTTAATGATTTGCATATTCTCTATTAAGTATTTTAAAATTAACATCATTAAAATGTTTTTGTAAGTAAATAGGTTGCAACAACTCTGAGTTTGGTCCCAGATTTTGGCACCAAAATATGAGTTTTGCAAATCTGAGGAAAGGCGTGCTGACTACCTGAGAGTCAGAAAACACCTTGAGCTGCTTAGCACAGCTCTGATGGCTGCAACTGCAATAAGACAGTTCAGTCCTAGAGGGCAAGGTATCCCAGACACCTCAAGCTGCTCAAAACAACAACTCTGCCCTGAAGTTGTCTTGGACACCTGGAGCTGTTTAGTCCAACCCTGGAGGGAATATTTTCTGACTTCTTAGCGAAGACAGGCCTGGGAATGCTTCAGCAGGGGAGGGTATCCTGACTCTTCCGAAAATATCCTGACTCTTCAGGCTATACCTGGTGTGATGGGACATGGTCTCCCTGTAGGATATAGCAATCCTGCTCCTCTCCCAGAGAGCCACTACAGCTAAGCTTTGCTCAGCACCCATTTAAGGGGGCTTTCTAATAGAGCCCTGATTTTCTGGCCAAAGAAATTACAAAAATGTAGCAATTTCCTCTGGCTCAGGAGAAAAGTGTTATTCCATCTCCAAAACATCTTGTATAAACTGCCCTACCTCGTCAATTGAAAGTTGTCGTCTCCACCCTGGTAGAAGCAGCTACTCTCGTGGACTCCTCCTTCCCAATCAATCTAAAAGTGTTTTGGGTGTGAAGACCTGCATTCACTGGTGCACAGAAGAACTTTATTGGGATGTCCCAAGTTGGATTGAACAAGGTGGAGCTGAATAGAAGATCCTTGCTGAGATATCCCATAGTGGATTGAGCAAGGAGGAGCTGAACAAAAGAACCTTGTTGAGATGGCTCAAGTGGATTGAGCAAGGGGGGAGCTGAACAGAAGGTCCTTGCTGAGTAGGCAGAGCAAAAAAGCTGAAAAGTAATGCTTGCAAATTTTTTTAACATGGACTTCATGAATTTGTGTCTCATCCTTGTGAAGGAGCTGTGCTAATCTTCTCTGTATCTTTCCAGTTTTAGTATATGTGCTACTTAAGCAAGCATACTGCCTAGAATATTTCTTAGAAGCTGATCTTACTAAAAATACCCTATCTTCTAGATGAAATATAAGAAAAGACAAGCATGGAAAGTGAGAACACAAAGAAAATACAAGGTGAGGAATCCGTGAATCATGCAATTGGATTAGTTTTATATATTTTATAGTTGTGTAATTGTGAGTATTTGTGTGTGTGTGTGTGTGTGTGTGTGTGTATCATATCTAACAGCCTCTAGAAAATGAAAGAATCATTCATCAATTTACATATATGACACTCTCTCTGGGAGACATGAACAAACATCTCCTTACCCCAGATAGGGAATTGCCAATAGACCAAAGTAAGGATATCACCAGATCCAACTTGCCAGTGAGTTTACTGGAGTTACTTATAGGCATATTGTGTGGAGTTATTTACAGAAGCAGAAATGACTCAAAGGGAGTTACATCATCAAAAGTCCACCCCAGCATGAGTGACAGCTCGTGAAAACTGCAGGCAGCTTGACAGGTTGTAAAGTATCTCTTTCAGGCAGCTCAGTTGATCTCTCTCTTCCAAGTTGTTTAGTTGGTCTAAGCTTCTTTGAAGCAACTCTTGGTCTGATGTTTCTCAGAAGTCCTTATCCTTTATATAACCTTGGGAAAAGAGGGGCCTAGCATATGAGGTTAATATCAGGGGCTTCCTGAATCTTCTAAGTTGTTTATTTCCTAACTTCTAAGGAGCCTCAACCTGAGTCTGGTTTTTTTTTTTGGAAACAGGTTTCTCCGTGTAATAGTCCTAGCTGACCTGCAACTGTAGACCTAGATCTGTAGACCAGACTGGCCTCGAACTCAGAGATCCACCTGTCTCTGCCTCTCACGTGCTGAGACTGATTAAAGGTGCACCACCATGCCTGCCCCTCCCCCCACTTTTTTGAGATAGGATTTCTCTGTAGTTCTCACTGTCTAGCAACTCACAATGTAGACCAGGCTGGCCTTGAACTCACAGAGGCCTGCCTCTGCATCCCAAGTGCTGAGATTAAAGGTGTGCACCACCACTGCCCTGCTTCCACCCTGTATCTTAATGAGCTTTCTTGCAAGATGATATATTAACATGAAGGAAATTACTATGTCATAGCATACATATTGACACCTACTTTGTGCCTGTCATATAATTCCTGGCATAAGGAAGCAGACATGGGAAATATCATGCTGATACTTAGAGTGCCATATGAGCCAGGCATGGTGGATCATTGCTTTTAATCCCAGCACTCAGGAGCAGAGATAGGCAGATCTCTGAGTTCAAGGCCACTTGGTTTACATAGTTTTAGGCCAGCCTGGACTATATAGTGAGACTGTTGGGGGAGGGGGACATAGATAGTTGATTTATTTGGCAGAATATGAAAGAACAATGGTCCCTAGACATGGTAGCTCATTGTTGTGAGGGTGCTGTCAGCAATATAGATGGATATGTTTGTGACTGTCCACAATGTCATAATTGGCTTTTTGAGTCAGGCTTTCATGTGGTCCAAGCTGGCCTCAAGCTCATTATGTGGCATAGGATGACCTTAAACTTCTGATCTACCTGCTCCCAAGCCTCAAGTGCTGGGATTATAGGTATTTGCTGTAATGACTGTTTTGTGTAGTATTGGAGATTGAAACTGGAGCTTTTGAAATTGAAATTAGGCACGCGTTTTACCAACTAAACTATATCTCCAACCCAGAATTTATTGACTATCAGCAAGTTCACAAGGTATAATGGCTTCATTGGCATTGATTTGCCACATAGTGCCACCTTAATTAATAGCCTGCCCAGGTAAAACCAGGTTGTATTGTTCCAGTTTCAACTACTAATATTAACTCTCAGGTCACACATTGCACATCACATAGTGAACCTGTTTATCTATCTGACTACAAAAGGTTAAAGAGGCCTCAGCAGAGTTCAGGAAGTTCTGTTTTGGGGCTTTTGTTTGTTTTTATTTTTATTCTTTATTTTTCAAGGCAGGGTTTCTCTGTGTAGCCCTGGCTGTCCTGGAACCTACTTTGTAGAGCAGGCTGACCCTAAACTCAGAGATCTGCCTCCTCCTAGTGCTGGGATTAAAGTCATGCACCACTACACCAGGCTTCAAGAAGTTTTAAAGAGGGCTGAGGAGTAGAAGCTGGGAAGCTATATAGGGATGCAAAGATAATGAATGTGGCTCGAGGTCTGCTGTAGACCTTGCTGCTGTAGAGTCAGGTCTCTCCCAAGTACAGGTTTGAGAGGAACTATAGAAGTGAAGAGGTGGAGGCAGAAGGTGCAAGAGTTCATCTTTATTTATTATGTATATAGTGTTCTGCCTACATGTGTCCCTGCAGTCCAGAAGAGGGCACCAGATCTCATTACAGATGGTTGTGAGCCACCATGTGGTTGCTGGGAATTGAACTAAGGACCTCTGGAAGAGCAGCTAGTGCTCTTAACTGCTGAGCTATCTCTCCAGCCCCCATAAGATTTCATCTTTAGCTACATAGCAAGATTAAAGCAGCCTGGGCCATATTAAGACAAGGTAGGTAGCTAGATAGGTAGGTAGGTAGGTAGGTAGATAGGTAGCAGGCTAAAGGTATTCAGAAGTGGTGAGATGGCTCAGTGGGTAAAGATCATTAAACCTGACAACATGAGTTTGTTCTCCAGGATCCACATAGTAGAAGGAAAGAACCAACTCCCACAGTTATCTTCTGACCTCTACCCATCCCATATATACTAATTTTAACAATTTTATGTATATGGGTATTTTGTTTACATGTATATTCCCACCACTTGTATACCTCGTGCCCACAGAAGTTAGAAGGCTGTATTAGATCCCCTGAAACTAGAGTTACAGACAGCTGTGAGCAGCCATGCAAATCCTGGGATCAATCTCAGAGGATGAACACAAACTCCTATTGAATATCTGGTTTGAAAATATTTCCTTCTACATTGAGCTGCTTTTGCATTCTACATAAATCTACATAGCAGTTTTAAATTTTAAGCCAGGTATGATGATGAATATGCCTTTAATCCCAGCCCTGGAGAGGTAGAGGCAGGCAGATCTCTGCATGTTCAAGTCCAGCCTGGTCTATATAGTGAGACCCTGTCTAAAACAAACAAACAAACAACAACAACAAAACAGCCAGATGGTGGTAGTGCATACCCTTAATACCAGCACTCAGGAGGCAAGGAGACAGAGGCAGGTGGATCTCTATGAGTTCGAGGCCAGCCTGGTTTACAGAGCAAATTCCAGGACAACCAGGGCTACACAGAAACCCTGTCTTGGAAACAAAACAAAACAAAACAAAAAAATAAAAATTTAAAATTTTAGGTCTATTCTGTCATGTTTTCTTTTATTGCTTGTTGCTTTTGGTATTGTGTGCACTTCAGTTTTTGTTTTTTTCTTTGAGAATTGAAGAAACTAGGTTGCTCAGCCCCAAAAAAGGTTAAATCAAGATGAAATGTGATAATTGTATATGAAAGAAGGTACTTTGGCTAAAAAGGGAAAGAGCATATGATAGGAAATCTTTTTTTAAAAATAATTTATTTGTATTTTATGTGCATTGGTGTTTTGCCTACAAGTATATCTGTATGAGGGTACTGGATCCTCTGTAACCAGAACTGTAGACAGTGTGAGCTGCCATGTGGGTGCTGGGAATTGAACCTGGGTCCTCTGGAAGAGCAGCCAGTGCTCTTAACCTCTGAGCCATCTCTCCAGCCCCATGATAGGAAATCTTAAAGTCTGAGGAAGAAGTGCTGAAGGGAATGAAGTCCTACATAATGCCCAGAACTGAAAAGCACCATACCCTATTTGCAAGTTTTTTGGCGTGTTGTTAATGTGACATTAATATCCATACAAACTTATTATCTTGTTGATTTGTTAATGTATACAATAATCATGAATAAATGTTGGCTTTTGTCCATAGTCAAATCAGTAATAACCTTTGTATTATATATCATAGATTTTTGTAATATGTGCCTTTCTATTTTTAAGTCTACCCCTTGTAAATGTTAGTTCAAGACTTATGTCAAAGAAGGCAAGATGGCTCAGCTGGTAAAGGCACTTGCCACGTCTGACAACCTGAGTTTGATCCCTGGGACCCACATGGTAGAGGAAGGGAACAGATTCCTACATTATCGTCTGACTTCTGCATGTACCTCCTTACAAATAAATAAATGAATGAATAATTTAATGTAATAAAATATTTTTAAAGCCAAAATAAAAGAAATAAAAACTTAAAAAAACAAAACAACACCTATAAATCATTTAATTTACCTAGTAAAAAGATTTGAGTTTAGTTTGATATGTTATATTGACTGATTTTCAATATAACATGTCTTTCAAATAAGAAATCCATGCTGTATTCCTTGGATAAACCAACTTGTGCAATGAAATATTGTTAATATACCATTATTAATATATTGTCAACTTACTAAAATAGATTTTTTTTACATGTATGTTCATGAGGGATATTGGTTTATAGTTTTCTCTCTCTAATGGTTTTGGTTTTGATACAAAGGTAATGCCAACCTCAAAATAAGTTGGGAAGCCAGGCATAGTGGTGTGCCCCTGGTTACTGAAGAGGCTAAAGCATGAGGATCTTAAGTTTGAGATCAGTGTAGAGTATAGTAAAACCTACTTTTTAATTAGGAAGTAACATTTTAGGTACTATTTAACCTTTTTTTTTTTTTTTTTTTGAGACAGGGTTTCTCTGTGTAGCTTTGTGCCTTTTCCTGGAACTCACTTGGTAGCCCAGGCTGGCCTCGAACTCACAGAGATCCTAACTCACAGAGATCCGCCTGGCTCTGCCTCCCAAGTGCTGGGATTAAAGGCGTGTGCTACCACCGCCCGGCACTATTTAACCTTTTAGATACTATTTCTTCTTTAAATGTTTGGTGGGGTTTTCAAATGAAATCATCTGAAACTGGAATTTTCATTGTGGGAAGCTTTGTAACTATGATTTCAGCTTCTTTCTTAAATATAATATTATTCAGATAATCTGTTCTTGGATGTGTGTGCATGATTTACATCTTTGAAAGCAATTTTTTTTCTATTTCATCTAAGTCATTGAATCTCTATGAAATTGTGCATAATATTTCCTTTTGAATATCTTCAGACTCCGTAATGGTTATTTATTTATAATATCTCTCTCTGTAGCTTAGGCTCGACTGGAACTCACTATATAGCCCTTGAATTTGTGGAAATCCTTCTGCCTCGGTCTCCTAAATGCTGGGATTATAGGTGTGAGCCAACATACCTGGCTCTTCTCTCATTTAATATTGGTAATTTGTGTCTGTATTCCGTTATCAAATTAGTCTGGCTAGAGAATTATCAGTTTTATCATTTTTTTAAAGAACCTTCTCTTTTTTATTTTTAAATTTATTTTTATGTGTATAGATGTTTTGCTTGCATGTATATTTGTCCATGCCTGATGCCTGAGTGAAGTCAGAAGACAGCATTGGATCCCCTGAGACTATATTACAGACAATTGTGATCTGTCATGTGGATCTTGGGAATTGAACCCCGATCCTCTGGAGGGCAACCAGTGCTCTTAACCACTGAGCCATCTCTTTGGTCTCACTCTCTTTCATTTTTCTGTTTCACTGACTTCAGCTTTTGTCTGTATAGGTTTTTTTTTTTTTCCTTGCTTACTTTGGGCTGAGTTTGCTCTTTTTCTAGTTTCTTAAGATGGAGGCTAAGGTCATTGATTAGCAACCATTTTCTTTTCTAACATAGGCATTTAGTACTAGACATTTCCTCATAAATATGCTTCATTAGCATCCTATAAATTCTAATATGTTGTATTTTCATTTAAAATATCAGTTCACGCCGGGCGGTGGTGGCGCATGCCTTTAATCCCAGCACT